ACCCCGAACCTCCCCCAGGATCGGCCCCTTCCGGCCTGGAACACCGGGCATGACGTGCCATGGTGGGGAATATCCCTTTGGCTAGTTCAAATCACCTGTCCCGGCTATGCTCCCTCCCAGTTTTCTGTGTATCTTCTCACTGGCAGAGCATGAGACACAGGCAAGAAAATGTCCTTGGTTATGATAAACACAATCCAGCAAAACCAAAACAACAATGTATTATCACTTCTGAATTCAAAACACTGCACTACACTAGCTACTGAGAAAATTAACCCCATCCTGGCTAAAACCAGGACAATCATCTCATCCAACTGTCTGAGCATTTCAGGGCTGACTAAAAGCTAAAGCATGTTGTTAAGGGCATTGTCCAAATGCCTCTTACACACTGACAGGCTTGGGGCATTGACCACCTCTCTAGGAAGTTTGACCACCCTCTTGGTAAAGAAATGTTTTCTATCATCCAGTTTGAACCTCCCCTGGCACAGCTTTGAGCCTTTCCCACAAGTCTGGTCACTGAATACCTGGAAGAAGAGACCAGCAGCTCCCTTTCTGCTTCCTCCTCTCAGGAAGGTGTAGAGATCAATGAGGACACCCCTCAGCCTCCTTTTCTCCAAACTAGGCAAGCCCAAACTCCTTAGCAGCTCCTCACAGGACATGCCTTCCAGCCCTGGCTAATTGTCAGTAGTATTGCAGTGGTACAATGCATATGTAGTGTTGGCTTCATCTTATTTAAGTTAATCTAGATTCCTTTTACTAATACTTCAATCTGAGGTAACTGAATCCAGTTGCAAATGAAAGAGCCTTGAAATTTTATTTTAAGCTCCACCTATTTTCTTCTGGATTTCAAAGAGAAGAAATTATGCTGACATATTTTTCTGATCATCCCTAATTTCTTAGTGATTCTTTTAAATATAGCCAAGAGAGGAAGCTCTCTTGAATGTTGCAAAAGAGAAGTATTTTCCCATTTTCGGGGAAATATCCAAGCCACAGCAAGTCAAACTCAGTGATAACAACGTACCTTTTAGTGGGTCATAACCACTATTGTACACAATAAATACAATTTTTAATGTCATATCCTGGACAAGTGAAGCTGTCTGTAGTACTTCCAAGACATGGGAGTAGAGGACTGTCCAAAGACTGAAGTCTGCTGTGAGGTTAGCGGATGTGCACAGTGGCTTCTGTTCCGGCAGTGAAGCCTTTTCCTCTGCTTGGGTTTCCAGTGCTGACTGGGGGACCACTCAGCGGGACCTACAGGCTGCGCCAGATTCACTTCCATTGGGGGTCCAACGATGAAGCTGGCTCTGAGCATGCAGTGGATGGGATGAAGTATGCAGCAGAGGTAAGGCTTTGCATGGAGTCATCTGTACCTCTAAGCTTGTGACTAGTTTTCTATCATAAGAATAATGTTGCCCCTCCTCTTCCCGCTTTTCATCCTTCCCACATTTTATCAAAAGGCAAGTGGTCTTTCTGAAGTGTTGCATGTTTGGTCCCTTCTCAAAGGAGAATCTATTTGAAAACTTTGGAGAGGATTAAAGGAGGAGTACAGAAGACAAGAGCTTGATAAGAGCAAGATTTAATGGTCAAGAGTTATTTTAAACTTTGCCTTTCACTGTCTCTTCCTTGGAGAACATTTTCAAAGTCAGCTTCAGTGGCAAATCACAGAGTTATTTGATTTGGGGCTTGTGCAGTGAAAAGTTTATGCAAAACTTAGGAGTGTTGCATTTTGTGGTGCACTTAGCAATGTGATAGCTACGACTTTGAGAACCACACTTGAATATCTGTGGTGTGCCTGCTGTTTGTGGGGTACTGTGTTTCAGTGGAGTCAGTGTGTCACAGAGAAATGCACCATCTGCTTTGGCATGGAGCATTCGCTTCTGCTCTGTCTTCTTTGGTGCATTTGAGTAATCTGCAGGAAAAAGTGTTCAGTATGCAATTCCACTTTGCAAATGGAAGTAAAATGGAGTATTTTGATGAGACTGATATCTCTAGCAACAGATAGTTCATACAGTGGAAGAGTTTTGTGGGGCTAAAAAGAAGTTAAAAGTGTAAAAATTAATGATAATATACAAATAAAAGGCATAATACTAAAGAAGAAAAAATGCAATGTATGCACAGTGGTGTGATCAGATTTTGTTGGAAATGCTATAAAAGAGAGAGGTCAGGAAAAAAGGATCAGTTTTCTAACAATAATGGGGAAAAGTGACATTTGCAGTGTTTAAAGGCTTATGTTTTCCACAGGAACGAGGTGAGATGGAATATAAAGAATTAATAGAGGTGCTTTAAAACCATAAAGCACCAACCCCAAATTACTAGCTGAGAAAATATATATATGTTTCCCATCTAAGAAACCAAATGGAAGGAGAAAATACCTCTGAATTTCTAGCCAGTCTAAAAACCTTTCCATTACCTGGTGATTGGGTAACCTTCCACAAGAAGCTCTCTAGACGTCACTCTGGCTTTGGGATAAGAAACCCAGAATTAAGGTCAAGGCTTCTGAGCACTGTTCACACAAAACAAAATATGTTGGAAGGAGACATGAAGATGGTTTCAGTGCTCACCTTCATAAGGAAGATGTGCAAGATTTCAAGAAAAAGCATCAACTGAGTTGAAGAAAGAATTGGTGTGGAGATAAAGAAGACTGCAAGGTTTGGCCCCTAAGCCCACCAGGAAGCAAAAGGGATCCATGGCTCCATTCTTTGTGACAACGTATGGTCTGATCAAGGTCTCCTCTGAAGCTGCAGTGATAAAGCGGTGGTAAGACGGGATACATTCTTTAAAGAGAAGTCACAAGACATTGAGAATGGGTCTGTACCCAAAAGTGTTTGACAGCTTTGTTTGCTTGGGGATTATTTTACTGGGGGAGGATTGGCTTGGGTTTTTTTTTTGGCAAAGCTATGAGGGAGTGGGAGTGGGTTTTTAGTAGTTGGGGGAATTTTGCTTTTTGTTCTTTGTCGTTTTTTCTTTTTTTTTTTTCAAATCACAATAAAGGCCAATTCTTACTGAGAGTATCTGTTTCCTTTTTGTGTATGTAAAAATGTAATTGTTTAAAAGTCGTTCAACATAGGTTCTGTGAACTTATAATAGTGAGCAGTGCAGACATTATGAGCTCCTGGATAGTAATGCACTTGAGAACGGTTTAGTGGACAATGTTGTCTTCCTGGCTTTACTTGCAATATTGTTAGCAACTTTCCTTCAAGGATTTCTGAAGCTGTGAACCAGCATGTGTGCCATCATGGCCGTACATGTATTATTATTGGCAACAATGGGATTCCTTACTTGCTGGAAGTAATGTTTCAGCATTTTAGAGTCCAAATGGAATCTCTAAAGCAAGCCCCAGATTTCCTAAATTGCTCTTATTTTAGAAGTCTCAGATTGCAGTATACCTTCTAAAAGGAAGCCTGTTTTTTTCATGGGTTCATCCCAGTTTAAGTCATTCAATGGAGTTGCTTTTCAGTACTCCTGAAGAGTAAAGTTCAAAGTCTGAAAAGATCTTTAGAATTTTAGAAAAGCCAATCCCATGAACTGTTCCGGAGCCTATCTGAAAACTGTGGGTCATAAGATTTACTAATCCATTGAGGATTTGTGAATGTAATTAATGCTTGTGAAGTACTTAAGCTTAAGTGCTGTGTGAGTGTTTGTGCTCTCTTTGGTTTGGCAGTCGGACCATTGCTCAAGGCTGGGGCATCCTAGCACTTCCCGGGAACCAGCAGCTCCCACCATGAAGTGTGGTCAGAAATTAGGAAACCTGGTTGAGAAGGAGGAACTGAGGTGGTATGGGAATAGACATCATGGGATTTTTCTTTTCCCACCTGACTAAGTGGTGTCCTTAAGCTCGTTAAGCAAACACAACAGGGCAGTTCCAGAATAATGCATGCTGGAAATGTAAATGCTCAAACCTGAGATAACCAAGTTGCTTGTAAGGGCCTAACTACTGGTAGTCATAGAAAATGACATTTGGAAAATATAAAAAATGATATGTTGATATTTAGGTTATACTAAACAAGGGAAAAGGGCCCAGTGCAAGTTTAATGTGTGTTCCTCTGCCTGTCTTTTAGCTATTTATGCGGCTGATTAATGCTGCTGAAAGCTTGATTAAAGAAAAAGAGGAGCAAAACACTAATGACATCCTCATGAATTTCAATCACTTTTTAAAATCAGATGTACTAAAAATGGATTTAAAACCTTTAGTTATATAACCATGGGCTTTCTTGTCCTAGCTTCTCAGTTCAAAATCTGGGGGCCCAACAGCAGTTTGCCAGGCACTGTGGGGTACTGATTGCTGGTAAATTTTGAATAATCCCAACCATTGGAAATGCTTTTGCCATTTGTGTGAACTACATGTTTACCAATTTCATGAAATATTTACACTTAGAACACTGAATGGCTCTGCATACCAAAGAGTGAAATAGAGTATCAAACCCGGTAAAGTTGTAGTATTCATTTACAGCCTCTTGAGTTCAGCGAGTGTTGATGCTGTCTGTGTCTCTTGCTTTTCAGCTTCATGTGGTCCACTGGAATGCAGAGAAGTATTCCAGTTTTGTTGAGGCAGCTCGTCAGTCAGACGGATTAGCAGTCATGGCTGTATTTCTGAAGGTAAGGAAAGAATGCTTCAGCATTCCTAATAAATCTGCATTATAAGCCCAAAGAGATAATGGTGATGGTTGGTGTAATTTTTGTCAAAGAGGTGCTTGTTTTGTACTTGTACGTTTAGCTGCCAATATAGAAAGCTGTGCTTCATTGAAGATTAAAAATATTAGATTAATAGGTTTTTCAAGACAGTGAGACTCTTCAGTTTGCCTAGTCTGCACTCCCATACAACATAAGATGTGGAACTTAATTCAGCTGCCCCTATATGGATTGAAATAACTTGTACAGGACTAACAAGTCTCTTTAGGGAGACAATCTGTTTTGATTCAGATGTTTTTAATAGTTTGTTTCTGAGCCGGTAATAAAAATCCAAACCCAGAAATTGAAGAATTTCCTTATAATTGTTATATACCTTTTTCTGTACCTGTTCTAAGATGAAATTAAACTTGTGCAACAGCTTCATTGACTTCTGTATGAAGAAGCAGATGGAGAATTCACACAATTTATGACAGAAGATAGTGCTTTGGTAAAATCTATGGTTTTGGTGTGGCTGACACAGCTTCCTGAGCACAGCTAGTGCTGGTGCTGGCACAGTCAGAGGGCCATTCCAAACAGCAGTTGCAAAGAACTACTTCAGAAATTCTCTTTCCAGTTTGCATTATAATGATTCAAGGAAAGTCTCACTAGTTTTCTTAGGACATGAATTTTGCTTAAGATACATAAGAACAGTGTTTTCAGTGTTTGAAGCAATTTAAATTTCAGATGTAAGCCAGCAAATTTAATATTCTGCATATTAAGACATGAAAAATAAATGGTTTCTATTCCCCTGTAGTGAAAGGTTTATATTATTTTGTTTTTAGCTAAAATAATTACGGAGAACCTGGAATAAATATTATCAGCAAGGGAATGGATCTTATTTATGACCAGTACTTTTTCCTAAGGACCAGCTGGTCACAGACTTGTCCTTACAAAATCCTCCAAATCTCACAGTCACTTAAATACTATTATAGAAAACAGTTTCATTGTGCATTTACTATTTGGTTACTTTTTTTCTTTATTTTCCCCTGGAGCTTCAGTGTTTCTTTTTTTCTCTGGTGTTAATAGATTGGTGAATGCAACCCTCAACTGAAGAAGATTACTGACCGCTTGGACACCATCAGAATCAAGGTGAAGAAATGCTTCCAAAAAGTTGATGGTTGCTTTTGTCGTTTTGGTGTTGGTTTTTTATTTTTTGAAACCTGGCTGCTACTCTCTTCACCTTCATGTTCCCTAATCCCTAGTATCATAGTTACTCATGTCTGATTTGAGACAGTTTAGGAGCATTCTTGTTAGGTTGAAAACTAAGTAGACAAAGAATAAATTTTATTTAGTAAAACAGTAGAGGGAGAGGCTAATTCCTCACAGAACCCAGTCTGTGACAAACTGTTGCTATGAGAATAGTAACAGAGGATGAATATACTTTATGGAAGGATGTAAAAAAGATGTGGGAAAGATCCCTCCTGTGGGAAAGATCCTCCCCTGTTTGCTGAGGTACAGGGTGAGAAATAACCTATTGTTTGTGTGAGAGAAATCAGCCAGGCTCTCAACATGATGTTTCGTACAGGCATCTCTGGCCTGGTAGCTGGAACAGGGGGTAGCAGTAGTAACCCATGGACCTGGGAGGAGTGAATGAAGAGAGGAGGAAGTGGCAGTAACCTGTGGGCTAACTCTGTCAGTCCCATAGAGACCATGCTGAAAGTCTAACATTTTCTCTCGTTTTACCCCAACTTCCATCTCATGATCATTTGTAACCCTGGGAGCCTGTGCTAACATGACACCTTTGATGGTGTCCTGCTGGCATCAAGGATAGCAGCAGCAAAGATGTTGCAGAGGTAATACCTCATCAGAAGGTCATTGATAAGGACCTCCTGTCATTGTCCAGATTGCTGCCAGTGCACCCGATAGTGGAACAAGCTCTGCCTCCTTTGGCATGATTTACCTTGGCCTCTTGCTTTTAAATATTGCCCTGTTTTTTCTTTTCTTTTTTTTTTTTTTTTTTTTTTTTACTTTGTGTAAAAAATGAAATTCTAAATATACTTAACGCAGAATAAAAATTGCCTTTTTTTATTATTATTATTTTCCAGGGTAAAAAAGCACTATTCACAAACTTTGACCCTAGCTGTCTGCTTCCCAAGTCCCTGGACTACTGGACTTACTTTGGCTCTCTCACTGTTCCACCTCTTCTTGAGAGTGTCATCTGGATTGTTCTGAGAGAGCCCATAAGTGTTTGTTCTGAACAGGTATTTTTACTGCTATGGAAATACTGCTTTTGTAAGACTTGAAATTGTAAATGCCTCCCAAAAATATGTATTTTGCAGACCTTGGCACTGCAGACCTTATCAGATTTTCAAAAGGCAAAATCTGTATATCAAATTTATCCTGACTTCTTGTTCCCTTTCTTGGTAACAGCTATTTATCATTCATTTTTTTCAGAATCTGCATACTCTGAAAATTATTAATAAAAAATAACCCACAAGGAACTTATGGAATAAAGGGTTCTGGGTCACTTTGAAATCCTGGAATTCCATTTGATTTTTTGCATATCTTGCTCAAACTTCTTCTCTGGTATTTTTATCTGGCAGATGAATAGTAACTTTCTTCTTGCATTCTGGATATGTAAAATTTGATGAATTTACTAGAATTGTGAAAAGACGATAAAATCGTAGTAAGGTTTTATGGTAGGCTATCTTAGGAAAACTGATACTACGGAAAAGAGTCTATTTGTATTTCTTGTTAAATTAAGCTTCATGCTGTATCTTAGCGCTGCAAGAGTGACACCCAGTGGGCTGCTCCTCCTGGGTGCAGAGTTTTTCTGGCCAGAGACACAAATTGTGGCTTCAGTCTTTGTACAAAACTTTAGGGCAGATCCCTAGATGGAATACTTGTTAGTCAGGAGACCTCAGATTCTGTTTGAAACTGATTTGAAGTAATTTATTTGCTCAACGTATGCATTTTTCTTATCTGTATCTCTTCTCCATTCCCTTCAATGTGGCTTTGTAGGACTCGCTGCAGTGCATCTAGAATTGAAAACTTGTGTTAAGGTATCAAATTCCCCACGACAAGTCATTGTTCAGGTTAAAAGCCTCTTATTTGGGCCAATCTATAAATAAAATGTGAATTGCTGTATGCAGACAGCCATGTATAACAGGTTCAGAGGATGAGGTGTGGGAAACGGTTAAGTATTGTTTTAGTGATTCTTTATTAGTCATTTTTCACAGATTGTAACTGTATCTTATGTACTAAAGTAAAAATATGCTATATTTTTATAAATATAAGCATGCGTATGGATAAAAGTGTTTGTTTCCAGTAATGTCCACCATTGTGTTTGATCGATCAGCACCATGATCGATACTGTGCTGCCATTTAATTTTATTCCTCAAGTTTGTATTTCTTTGGGGTTTTAGAGTTCACTACTGACTTTTTGCTGCACTTTTCAGGTTGAAAAAAAAAGAAAAATATCTTTTAAGTTTTTAGAAACTTATAGGCAGCCTGAATTACAAATGTTAGCTTTAGAATGTCCCTCACAACTAAATGCTCTATTATAATGGAATGATTTTTGTGCTGTCCTACCTTTGCTAACACAGAAGGGAAGTAAGGTGATACATAGAAATAGTGAATATTGGAAATATTAGAAATTAAACAAAATAATAAGCTTAGGTCAGAAATCAGGCTTGGATTTCCTGAGGTTTAGACATGGAGTTCTGATACAGATTGCTGCTGAGATCAGCGTATGCTGTGGTATGAATAACTGCTTGTTCTGTGCCTTCACAAGGGAAGAATTTGGAATCTCTTATGGCTTGAGTAAGTCCTAATTACAGGAGCTTTCTGTAGCACCACACTTGTAATTCCAGGTTAATTTTGGATATAATCTTTAGGCGAGAAAGCATACACAGAATATGTGTATGATAAAAAACATGATCTGATTTTTGGCACAAAACATTCCACAATCTCCAAACTATGAAATCAAACTGAAAAATATAAATCCCACTGGTTTATATCAGGTTGTGGAAGACAAAGTGTGAATATAGGAAACAAAGAATCCTTATGCACAGTTTCATGCTGACATGATTTTCTCGGTAGTCGTTTTTCCTTTACAAGGACAGAAATAGTGAAATTGCCATTCCCCACATGGCTTAATAAAATACAGTTCTGTTCTTCCAGGCAGAAAACAGGTGACAAGTATCTTTAATAGTTACTACATGCTTTTTCATTGGTATCAACATTAGTT